TAAAAAGAGACTGTCGGTCTACAACATTGTATGCGACATTATTAAAAGAATATATTGTAATTATTACACCAATTTAATTATAACTAAGCCGGCTGTATATTATTAGTTGATTTTATAGATTGAAATTAAAAAAAATATTTATTATGCAGATCTAAACATTCAAATAGTTAATGTCACAATATATGTTATGCTTTTTATATATGGATTGAAATGTATCCTTATATTCATTATTATGCATGATAAATTTTGGAATAAAATTAAATCTTCGCTGCCAATGTATTACAGATCACCCTGCCACCTATTATTATCTACAGTAAACTGCCTGTGCACTCGACAATAGAATAGTTCTTTAGTATTCACGTGTCGTGAAGCAATAATTCCATCATGTTCGCCGTTATAGAGCATGCAGGTCCCGTATTTCGAGTGACATGCTGTGGCCGGACTTGCGGATATTACACAAAGGCACTCATATTTTTTGCACCTAACATGAAACTCAAATCAATGGTAAGCTTGCTTCGCTTTTGTTATTGCTCCCATTATGTCCTGGATGGTCGTCGAGCAGACTATTGGAAGCTTTTTGACCACGGCGTAACCTGCCATTCTGTCGATTGCTCTACTCATATATGGACGAATTATGAATACCACTTTTCTGTTTATTTCGTATTCTGGATATATTCACGGATGTGCGTGGTAATTTTGTTATGCCAAACGTATTTTATAATTCAGTCCATTATTATTATTATATAATATATTATTTTGCATACTAAAAATCCTATACTTAGTGCTTACGAATGATAAGATTTTCGATTTATTGAATGATTGGTGATTTAGTTAAAGTGATTTTGCAGTTTAGATACGTCTTTGTTCATATGTGATTTTTCAAGAATATTCCATACTTATGTTATAAATACGATAGTGTAACTATCTATCTCTCTGTTTAGTATATTTTCACAAATAAGCGTCTAAACGAAAGATCCGTTATTTGAACTGATTTTGACATATCAATAGGACTATGTAATATTATGTTATCTGTGCTAGGACTGACATAGACTGACGAAGTCACGGGTGTTGTATAAAATAAGTCCTGATATTCATTCATTATTAAGAAATAAATGTTGGTTATAAAAAAATGGCATACACTTATGCTTTCTGACACTAAATTTAAATGCCAAATATAAAATGTCGACTTTAAATTACTAAAGGCTTTCCATTTTACAAAAGAGCATATGTAATACTTTATTTCAATAAATAGTTGATATTTGAATGCGTGAAGTCTATTCAAACGAATGTAAAACTTACATTCTGTTTACTAAAATAACAGAATACACCTCATATTTTTATGATACTTAAATTTGGAATTGAATAGCAAGCTTACGTCCACTACGTCTAATATTGCTTTTTCAAATATGACAGGTTGCTTACTGCTCAATACAAAGAAGACATAGAATATAGCGTATAAGTACTCAGCCAATCTTTAAGACAGGCCGTCTACCTAGCTCGCAGGTACTTTACAATAAAGCAAGAACAGCTGCTTATTGTATCGCTGACAGCAAAGCTCTGGTACCCATTGTGAGGTTCCTACGGAGAAATATAATAGCGACTTACTTGATCCTAAGGAGCCACAATACGTTGTCATTATTTCGCGCTTATGGAGTCAGAAGGCCTCTTTTCACTCCATTTGCACGGTCTACGACGCGTTGTGTCATAACAATTGGAGGTTATATGGTAAAGCTAATTGTTTTAACAATTATAACCAGAGTTTGTAGGTACAAATCTGTGTTAAATGTATTATATAACAAGCAAGTTGTTTATATAAACACTAATATTTAGGGTGTACGGCCCTACTTACGTAAGACCTACGTACGTTAATAAATGACTACAAATTATTATTCGTTTAAAATATTGCACCAAACTCATTTTATAGAACTAATTTAGTAGAGATATGAAGATTGTTAGTAATGAGATCTAGTTGCCCCTTTACTAGCAATGCATATTTTCGCGCCAGCCTCCACGCGGTTCCCAGTGGAACAATGAGAAATGACTGACCTGACTTCATCCTCATCATATTATTCTACACTGGAGCTCCGCCAGCGTTAACCATTAGCGCAGGCGTGTGCACCATTCTATATAATACTTTAAAAATGTCAAAATAAAAAATGTGTTTCTGTTGTATATAAATCATATTTCTTAAAATGTTATTGTATGTTAGCAGGTGTTACATAAAAGTATGTAACACATGATAACTAACTTTTTATGTAAAATACTACAATAGTCTTTTTTATCAAAGTAATCAACATTTTCAATATTAGTAACGATAATATTATGCTGTAAAGCCTGGTTTCATTATAACCCATCTCTTAACGTTAGCGGACTCCCAACAAGAATAAAAAAATAAAATATCTCTATAAATTCCCTTTGTGCGCATATTCCGCTGTAAGTTTACAAAATTCCAACCCAAAGTAATATTTACGCAAATTTTATTTCTGTTCCTGAAATAAAACATACTTGCCTACGTACAAAAAGTGTTTTTTTTTTTGTTGAAATCATTTATCAGTAACTCACTCATGATTTCATAGTCTGGAAACAATATTGAAATGTACCACGAACACTTTACCCGTGTCAAAATGTCAGAAACACGTCATATTTTACATGTTTTTGTTTTTTAAGCGCCACGTCTATCGTGATTAGGATAACAGAGTTGATAACGCGAATCCAAAGAGGGTTTTAGTCGGAATCAACGGCTGCTAAAGTACAGATCGCAAAATGGCCTGTCGTTTCGTATGAAGAATGAAAAAGGTACGAGATGTAGAGGCGGAAACATAATACTACACTAATTTGTGTGTTACCTACTTGGAAGGGAACTGTATATTGTGATACGGTGTCGAGGCGCATTAGCATCAGCCCGCTGAACCAACACTACTACTGGTATTCAGTTTCGTGGAAGTGTTACACTTTACGCTCGTGAATATATTTTTTATACCATTTGACCGTATAGAAACATTACGAAATGTACTTGTTCACAGCTTTTTCTACGATATAAACAAATGTTCATAGCTTTCATCATTTTTAGACTGAGTGTACATATATATGTAATTAATTACTTATTTCCACTCATGCGGCACCTACTATATATATTTTTTAAATACTGTGTTGAAAACACACAAACGAAGGTTGTCAGGAAGAGATTTCATTAGCGTTAAGACCGCCTTTTTTACTTATTTTTATTTTTAATATTGTTCACGTCCTTCTATGTTGGTGCATATAAAAAATAGTACCTACCAATTACTGATTGTATAAAATATGCATGTACTATATATACTGTCTTAATTATAAGAACTAAAGTTTTAAATGTTCTGTTGCATTAGTTATTTTCTAATTATAATTAAAGGACCAAACAAACAAAATTAATACATTTTATTTAATAACATAGAACAACAAAGAAATTATGGACTATAATTAAATTTAAGACCCATTTGAAGTTCTACAAAAAGACTGTGAATAGAGATAGTACTTAATTATTCCAATGTTTTTTTTATAATATATGTATTTGTTATTAGCAACAATACGTAGTGGAGATGTGTAAAGACAGAATGCTCTAAAAAGAATCTAGCAAGACGATGGTGCAAAAAACGTTCAAAATTTTACAGCCAGTCTTGCATTGCTACCTGCTATTTTGTGACATCTTAACATAGGGTTGCTACCCATTTATTTCCTAGTTAATTGTCGTACAATTTTTATTTGGTATATTTAAGAACAAGTAAAAAAACTAATACACAATATTATATTGTGTCTCCTTTTTTTTAAATTAAATTGAAGAAAGTATGTAGTATAGTAAGTATGTAGTAATATTCATAGTACCTATTCATTCATACAATTAAGTAAAAATTATAGCATATTTACTAATCTTTATATAAAATATTATTATCAAATATATCACTAGAACTATAAAGCTCTTCAAGAGGAAAAATATTTTTTTTTTCTATAATAAATATATTTATGAATAACGGTTTGACATTGATCCTAAGTTTTTTCTAAATTGGAACTTGCATATGAGAACTGTTACCTTAAAAACATATTACAAATCTATGAACAATATAAGAATGTAAATATAAAAGTAACATTTACCATAGGTAAATACGAGTATGGGAATATACTTATAAGTAAAACATAGTTATATATTATATAGAAAGAGAGTGCGCTATATAATATCTGTATTTTTAGCTTTAGCACAGATAACATAATATTACATAGCTTGAACTTGACCTTTATAAATTAATATTAATTTTAGTAATTTTTTATAATATTTTTTTTCTAATATGTTTAATGTCTGAAATCTGTCAATTTATAACATGTTAGATCTCTTGTGAGAAAAGCGCAGAGACAGACTACTAAAAGCACATTATAGATCTGACTAGTCAGTCAGATCTATTTTAATAACTCGTCTCATGCTTTACGCCGATTCTAGAGACTATTACTTACTCATGAATATATGAATCTCTTATCAATTTATCAATAATCAGGTGTCAACCCTAAAAGCTACATCTACCACTTGAACGATCGAAAGGTACGACGACGGCGGCCCGCTAGTATCAGGAAGGAATGTACAGTGGGTAACTTGAACAGTTTCCAACCCGCTCGCACTCAACCGGCGTTCCATACGCTAAATTTGTCTTCCATCTCAGTCTCACACACAACATTTTCGATACTTACCTGCGTAAAATGATATACATCTGTTGCGGTATTAGCCTCTCACTCGCACTTGAAATTTGGAATGAATTGTTGATATACATGTCCTGCTCTGGTGTCTCATGAACAGGGGGTAGACGGTGTTGGCACGCGCTTGTGTTGGTGTTCGTTTATTTAGTGAACTTGGAAGCTTGCTTTCGTGTTTGTGCATAGGGTGTTGGATTCATTTGTGTGCGTGAGTTGTAGAGGCGCGACATAGCTTTGCCGTCTCCATGACTTAAAAGTTTTGTACGGAATGGAACCAGAGAGCCAGTTCTGCGCCGGCCGGCACGCCAGATGCACGCGTGTGACGCGATCGCTTCTAACTTATACGTGACACTACGAATACAAAAACTTGTTTTCTAACAGAAAATTATCTGAAGTTAACAAATATATTTTCTTTAACCACATACTTTTGTTATAATAAAGTGATCATACTTATCTGACATAGTGAGTTGTTTATTTTTTTGTGTTAACTGCAACGTGTTTGGTTCAACGGACTACGGAGGAGGTTGGTCGTCGCTCTATTCGTGTATAGGCCATTGTGTATCAACCAAATAACTCCGACACACTTTGTATTTAACATGTAACATCCTTCACTTTTAGCATTTGTTGGACATAGGAGTATTATAGAACGTAAATAACTACGGACCATTGTTTAATCTAAGATTATGAACCAGAGAATGAGAAAACATGAATATCGAATCTAGATATTTAACTGCAATTTAAATGGTATACAATTTACCTAAAAGTAATCGTAACATTTGTAGTGGAAAAGATAAAATTTAGAAGTATGTTAGAACATTTTGAAATATATTGTATTATTGTTATTGTTCTAAACATGTTACAACAATACTATCACTTTCCTAAAGTAAATTTAAACTTAAATTTTAAAATTGAAATCAATTGAATAAGTGTACGAAATATAGGTTTTTAAATTAAAGTTGTATTATAAGTATTTAATAGTCGAGAAGTATTTCACTTTATTTTAAATTACATATTATAAGAATACATCTATCTAGAATTTAGTAGCATACAAATTGTGACGAATATTAAATCATTACTAATTATATAATTCAGCATTATATTTATTGGCATTAAAGAAATCCACCTAAGTTAATATTCACTAAGCAAGTAAGTACTTAAATACCAAGAAGTCAGTAAAAAGTTCAAAATGATAAGTCAAAAAGATTTTAAACCGACCAGCCCCGTCCTCTTTCCATTGCGGAGTTGAACAACCTTAACATATAAATAGAATACAAACATCTCAAAGAGAAATGCCGGCAAATGAGATCGTAGTCTCCTTTCACAAATCTTTAGTTGTTACATATACATAATTTTCAATAAAATAATTTAATTAGAGAGTGTTTTGTTCAGCATGAACATGAAACATGAGTTGCTTCCAAAATATTAAATTTTATGGATTAATATAGAAAGGATGTAATAATATAATAATATTATTACAACCATCCTGAACTAATAAAATGCATGAACACGCTGAAAACAAACTAATTAACCAAAATAACGAGTTCAAATTACGATTATCTGTATAATATAAAACATTGTACATGTCAAGGTGAGATAAGTATAATCATCATATTGCTGGTTTTATAAACTAGTCATCAAAGTGTACTTATATTAAATAAAATAATCTGGACGAATAATACGTAAATTGACAAAGTAACATAAGAGATACAATACGTACCAAAAAGGACAATAACAATACATTCCGTAGTGCGTAAAAATCTTATTCAATATTATGACAACATTTATCCCACAGATATCATGGTCATAACGCTCCCCAAATTCCGTCCGAAGAATTACTGCCATTGCCACGTTGTTGTTTCTCCTTGTCCTAAACAATTGATATGTCTATTTGTATCAATAATACGAAAGGCAGACGTTTACGTGCATTTCGTACGTGGTCTGAATCCAGTGGCGTGAATCTTCCCTCACTAGAGGCGTAAGTGGCACAGAAGTCATATTTATTGAAACTATTGGCGTTACAGTGAAGGAAAATCTTTATTTAAGAATTTATTTTTGTGCAAAAGGAATTTTTGCTGAGTTCACGTGTTCAATAAATTACTATTTGACTATTATTATACAGCAACTCAACAACACAGGGTTTGCAATATTCTAATACTCTTGTCTTGTTATACAATCTTTGAAATATCTATCTGCCTACTTCTTACGGATAAGCAGATAGAATCTAAGCCTTTAGCTTCTGTACTTACAATTGCATAAATAAAAGGAAATTTGAGATTTGTTGTTAAAAATATTTAGCTTAATATCCATAATTTAACTAATAAAACTAAATACTGAAGAAATCATTATCTAACATAGTAATTTAATTCGACGTTATTAAACTAATTAATATGCTTAGTAGTTATGAAATTGACCTAGTCTCTTAAACCAATAAGCTACGCCTACATAATAAATTAAATTATCTTAAAGAAGCTGTAAAATTCTATAAAACTTTTCAACTTAATATAGTCATATAATATTCGTAAATATATTTTTTCGTATATTGTTTTAAAACCCATCACGATATCGTCTGTAAATATTATAATAATATTATTTACCAAATTAAACCAATTTTTAGTGTTTAACGTAGGTAATTTATAGTGTATGTCCGAAAGTAATATTTTTTGCATATATGATATGAAATAATATCATATATAAATAATCCTCTTTACAACTAAGTATTAGTTATTAAAAATCATTCAATAAATTAAAACTATACTAACATTACATTTAAATCTGCTTTTCTTAATTGCAAGTATATTTTATTTTTTATTTACCCGACAAAATAACCTACATCTTGAGTTGACCACAGTTAAATATACAAATTTTGTGTAATACCGTGCTATCTTTGTAAATTTTTTGCAGGCTAAATACTTTTTAATAATACAAAACCAGAACTAATACTCTAGATATTGTTAGCATATTAACTGTACATATAAGTAAGATAAAATGAAGTCGCTTTCGCTGTCTGTGCGCTTAGATCTTTTAAACTGCGCAAAGGATTTTAATGCAGTATCCAGCAAAATATAAGAGTGATTCAAGAGGAAGGTTTATATGTATATCAATGTAAAACCGGGGCGGGTAGCTAGTATAAAATAAAATAAATAATCCTTCGCCGCATCTGTTTGTCTGTTCGCGATAATCTCAAAAAATATTTGATATATTTTCATGTGGATCTTATCCACTAACAGAGTGTTCCCAGACAAGAGTGTACAATTTCTTAGTTTTCTGCCAATCAATTTAAATACTCGTACAAACCTGGGCGGGTTGCTAGTATAGGATCCAGTATAAATATCCAGAAGGCATTATATCAAATATTGATTTAAATAATATCGTTAATCTTGTTGGCTATTCACTCTTATCATCAGAATATATTTTTACACATTTGTAAGTATTAATGCTATGTCCTTTTCTACTCAATAATACTCTGTACAATAAGATTGCAAATAACATCAATATTTGGTTTAAGGACAAAAACTGAATGTATCCTTTTGTTACTCTTTGATCTACCATGGAAATCAAAGATAACTTATATGATATGCCACTTAAGAAACTGATATACCAGCAAGGGTACTAAAAGGAATTTATTAATTTACCAGATATTTCTTACTGGAGGTTCCAGAATCCCTTTGAATACTCGTAGAACATTTCTTGAGGTTGCGGTTGGGGGGAACCAATAACTCCATTAGTACCATTTAATTGATTTTGTACTCCAGAAACTAATTAGACTTGAGGTTTATATAACCAAACAGTATTAATAACTTCAGTGTGTTAGCTCTAACACAATCTCATCTTAGTTATCCATCTTGATTAACAGAATTATTAATAATGTCTATCTATACGTATTCGCACGTCAAACCCTATGATATTGTCAAAGTAGGTGCTTGATTACACTGTGTATGGTGGGAGTGTATATTCGAAGTTGAATTTGATGTTAATAGAATAAGAAAGGGCATATTACGTTTTTAGGCAACTGAAATCGTGTTCATAGACACGTCATTAGACGTTCTAAGATTAAAAATATATTGTAATGTGAAAGATTTAGTAATACTCTTCCGATCAGTCAGCAGACATAAAATAACCTAAAATAACGTACCTTCTAGAATAATGTATTATGATTATGATAAGGAATTCAATTCTTCGAAACTTATTAAAATCTTGAGATGTATTATAAAAGAATGATAAGACATTGAAGTAAGTACTTTAAAGTCTTTATTAAATAGGACCCGGCACGAAGTGATATAGTAAAAATATAAATATAATAATTTCTTTTATTACTCGGAAAATGTTAGATAGCTTTAAATTTTGGGAAGACTTTATCTTCTTAGACAAGACTCGAAAACTGAATATTCTTACTTTTTACCTCAAACGTTGAAACAAAGATAGATAAACAATATAGAATAAAATCTTCGATGAAATGCTGTTAGTACTTAGAATTTAAATGGAGTAATTATTTAAAGAGTAACTAAGCTCACGTCTTTGATACGTTGAAACTACATTTTAGTTTCACATAATCCATAATCTCTTATTCGATGAATTTTTTATCTAGTATCTATATAGCTATCAGCATATCCTGTATTATTTGTATTTTGGGCGGCTTCCACTATCGGCTCACCAATATTTATTCAGTTCCCTTGCTAAGGAGCTTACAATTCGCTGCTGTTACAGTATTGTATTAATAATTCAAAGCGAATTTCCAGGGCTCGTACCGTATCTCTTCTGGGCAGCCAATTTGTTCGCAGGATTACCTACTCCACATTTACGTACCCATTGATTACTCGATTTATTCTTAATTAACGTTTAAATTTCTCCCACTAACGTTGATTCCCAAAATTCCCAAAACCAGTCAGAATAGCGAGAGGATTACCTCTCGCTATTAATATTTGATAAAGAATATGAAATAAATGTATATACTAAAACATCAGCAACATTGTTGTCAGAACGAAACAAATATATATATATATAAACACCTCTTTGGGCACTTTGTTGATCACGCCACAACCTACACACTTGCTGATTCCACCTTTTGCACTGAATAACTTGACTCCTATCGCGTATATCTCAGGCGGTATGGCAACGTCGCATTCTATTTTGCGATGTGGCCATATATATTCGTCGATAGTACGATATACTCGACACTTTTTTTACTAATAATTCGTGACTGAATGGCTCCGAACGGCTAAATTTTTGGTATACACAAAGACTTTTTGGCTCTGAATATATTCCAAAAATCAATTAATTATGTTGATCACTTTATATACTCGTCCTTACTGCGATACTTACTTTCATCCGAATATATATAAATACCGTAACGGTCTATCAATTATGAATTTATTAATTTACTAATGTAGATATTTTATATTCGCAATGCTCCATACATGCAAGCTCCAGCAACGGTGGAGGCAGGGTCCCCCCTGCACCGTACACCGCACCCCGCGCACACAAACAAATTAGATATTTTTTGAATACACAAAGACTTTTTGGCTC